TTTAGGATAAAAAACGTCTCCTTATTTAAAACATAGATACATAGATCATATTACTGCTGTGTTGTCAAAACAGGCAAATGCTGTGCAAAGACAGATCATTTTGTTTCTTATTTGCTGACATTTTTCAGGACCTGTAAGTTTATTCCTCACATAACAGGAGATAAAATCACAATCTGTAGCAAGAAATGAGAACCACTGTTGCTGTTAGTGTGCATTGTAACAGTGCTCAGTCGTGGTAGCCAGAATATACTAATGCCGGTGGGGAACAAAGGTGATGGTAAACCGTGCAGCCTCTTTCTTTGAGCAGATGGTGAGTTTCTTTGGGTTTGCTTTAGTAGAATGAATTCATTGCAAAGATAAAATGGGCAAATAGGACTTGGCAGAAGGAAAGCCATATTGCTTAACTTGTTGCAGAATGGAGTGTAGGTGTACTGGTGCTTGGTTTGGAATGACTGGATCAGAGCAGACATTTCAGGGCTTTTGCATTTGCTCTGTGACAGTTTAGTCCTTAGGACCCAGCTGTACCTATGAGAAGGCTGAGTTTTGGAACAGGTATGGAATTAAAAAAGATGTGGCTGAATGGAAGCTGCTTTATTAATTTCAAAATGCAAATGATCTTAATGATCTGTAATTTAAATAAATTAATAAATTAAATACTTAGAAATATGGAGAATAAATGAGGTGAATGACCAAAGTAGGGAGAAGGAAGAAAAAACCTTGTATTATGACATGCAGTCCTTTATTTTTGTAGCTGTTTATGTATAAGGGTGACTGAGCTATTGCATCTGTCTAAGGCAACTTTTCCTTTGCTCTAGTGTTACGACATTTCCTACTGGTAAAGGAGGCAAGGTGAAGCTCTAGAAGCACCTTTTGCAGTTTCTGTTGAGGTAGTCACATGTTGCCAATCTATAATTGTGTGAAATCTTACTAGAAATTCAATATTTTATGAACAGAGGAACTAATTGCTTAGAAGCTTGAGGCTGGAATAATATCAGGCAAAGAAAAATACATCTTTTTTAATATTCCCAACTGTTTTGTATGTATGTTGCTACCAGTTTCCTTTTAATTCCATTACTTTTTGACGACTGAAGTCACAGGCATGCAAACACA